GGAAAGACTGATTTAAGTAATTTGAGGGTGTTTGGAAGTAAATCGTGGGCTTTAAAGATGCCAATCTCCGGAGACAAATTAGACACGAGAGCAAAACAAGTAAGACTAAATAGTTGGATATAGTATGGATGGTTACAGACAATGGGATCCAGAGAATGATGAGGTTATAATGTATCAAGAGATGTGGGATTTGATGAAAATGATGTTATGTATGACATAGTAGAGGTTGTCGAGAATAAAGTAGAGACAGAAGAAAAAGATAATGAAGAAGATGAACAGCAAGACCCAGAAGAAGAACAAGGAATAGAAAATGAAAATAATGTGAACAGAAATAATAGAAAAAATAAGAGAGAAGTGAAAATTCCAGAACGATTTGGTGACTATGAGCTTTATTCAGCCTATTGCTTATTCAGTGCAGAAGAACAAGAACCAGAAACCTATAACGAAGCAATGTCAAGTGATGGTTGGAAACAAGCAATACAAAGTGAACAATCAGCTCCTGAAAAGCACAAAACATGGGAACATGGGCAAAACTACCAGAAGGAAAAAAAGCAATAGATACACGTTGGCTATTTAAAATTAAACCTAATGGTGTTAAGAAGGCGAGACTTGTGGCGGAAGGGTACCAGGAAGATTTTCACTACAACAATTATTTATACCAGTTGCAAGGTATTCAACAATTAGAATGTTCATTGTCATTGTACAGGCTTTACAAAATAAATGGCATATCAAACAATTGGATATACCTACTCGATTTTTGCATGGAAAGCTGAACATAGATGTGTACCTGAATATTCCAGAAGGAGTAGAAGTTGAAAAAAATCACAACAAAAACCACAATGTGCTAAAGTTAAAAAAGGCACTTTATGGTCTACGTGAAGCCCCGAGAGCCTGGAATGAAACCTTCAATAATTTTGCACAGAAAAATAACTTGAAACGTTCAAGACATGACTATTGCTTATATATAGGCAAGAAAGTCTGGTTATTACTGTGGGTGGATGACATCATCTTAACAGGACCCAACAGTGATAAGATATTAAAAGCTTTACAAGAAGAGTTTTCTGCTAAAAATCTTGGGAACATTAAACATTTATTGGGCATGGAAATAGAGACTAAAGAGAACTTAGTGCACATCTTACAAAAAGGACTTATTGAGAAAATGCTAGAAAGATTCAAGTTGGAAGACTGCAAAACCATTTCCACACCTATGGAACTAAATTTTCAAATACAGAATAAGCCAGTTAGAACTAACATACCCTACAGAGAAATTATTGGTTCATAATTATACCTAGCTACAATAAGCAGACCAGATATTCAATACTCTGTAATTTATCTGAGCAGATTTCTAGATAAACCTACAGAATAACAATGGCGGCTGCAAAGAGGATCCTGAGATACTTGAAACAAAGCACGGAAAGCAAGAATTAACTAACGGCCTACACTGATGCGGATTGGGGCAGTAATCAATCAGATAGAGAAAGTGACAGTGGTTATGCAGTGTTTATGAACAAAAATTTAGTTTCATGGGGCGCGAAAATACAAAATGTTGTTGCACAGTCGAGCCATGAATCAGAATATCTTGCCAGTGCATTGACTGCTTCAGAACTTATTTACTTACAAGGCATTTGCAGTGATTTTTCTATAGAAAATATGGAATCATTACTTTTAATTGTCAATCAAGGTGCATTAAGGTCTATTGAAAGTTTCGAAAACAGTGAAAGATCAAAACACATAGACATTAAAGCACACTTTATTAAGGACTGTTTAGCAAAGGAGCTTTTTATCTTAAAACATGTCCCCATTTTCTTTTATGTAGGTAGTACCTACAGCGGTACTGCTATTAATTGCTTCATTGATATGAAGGTGTAACAAATAGATAGATAACTTTTTGATCGATCCAAGATCAATGGCTCTTGACAAAAATTGGCCAAAGGTACCAACTTTTCTCTCAATTTTCTACGTCATCAAATTTTCACACTAAAACCTTCAAGTTAAATCCTGCGGCAGGCCAGATAACCCAGCCTGAAGGAATTACAGGAAAGGAATATTTGTTTTCAAAGACCTCTCATTTTCCAACTCCTTTTCACATTCTTATTATTTTCTCCTATTTTATACACTGCTCTTTTTCCAATAGACAAGAATCGATGGGAAAATTAAAGATTTTAAAAAACAAGCTTCAACAAAATTGTCTGTTAATAATGCTAATGTTAAGGTTTCTAAGATCTAGGAATAAGAAAATGTTTATAAAATTGTTTTGTAATGATTACTTCAAAAATAGAGGAGTTTTTCTATTAATACCTATATGTAATTATTATTATACCTAGAAATGTATTTGTACAACTAGGCCACCGTTCACTTAAAAACGACGAAACCTAAAGAAAAGGATGCGTATATGTACATTAAAAGTATTGAAACCCATAATTTGGCTCCTACCGAATATTTATCCAAAAAAAGTGGAACGCGCCAATTTGTTTTTAAAACTCATGCAACATACAATGGCCAATAATACTTATTATAATTTTCTTATTGCCGCTCTAACCTGATTTCGTCCGGACGAAAGGGCGAAATAGAGTATAATTTCGAATACGATTAAACGGTAGCTGATTGCTGGCCGTAGGCGCGGTTATAATTAGGGTTTTGAGTACCACGCCATCGCGTCACGAGAAATGGGAAGTTGATGGGTAAAAAACCCTATACCTAACTAAACAATTTAGTTCAAAAGCTGTTTTATTCTTCTTAATAAAACTAATTGTTACTAAGTTACATGAATCTATCTACAGTATTCAAGCTCGATGGTAAAGACGGGTAGTTACTTATCTAGTTCCCACAGTGCAACAAATTTATAGCCCATTATTTGGTTACAATCTGTAACGCAACAATGACAAGAGTTAAGAAATTACACGGTGTAACTTCCTAGTTGATTGTTTGAATTTGTTACGGTTGCTTAACTAGAGTGTGTTAAATACTTTGGACAATTTGAAAGAGCTCTATAATTTTTGGGAAAATGTGACCCATTTTCACATGACATAGAATCATCCATTATTATTTGCCAAATTTCAGTAATTTTAAACAAAAAATGACATCCGGTCGCCCGAAAACCGAAGAAGAATAACATTTTTGCCAATTTACTGCTTTCTGAATCACTAAACTTTCCTCGTATGATTATAGGCTATTTTTTTTGTTGAAAATTGTTTAATAATTATTTACGTTTCACCGTTAGGCAAACAAAAAGTTTGTGTGCACAAGGAAATAGTTTTGTAATCAGGAGAAATTATTTATCTTCACTTTGTTTAAAACAAATCGTCACGCATCATCGTTAGTTAGTTTACATTAAAATAAACAACTAATGGGACGATTTGCAACAAATGACAATTACCGGTACGGCTACTGATCCGGAAGATAATTAATTAGCGAAATTACGGCCATATCGGTACATTTTGAATTTGTCAGCTGCGTGTCTTTTTAACGGATAAATACGGCGCATCACCTGCTCTTTCTGGGTCGACGAACCGTTGAAGCCTTCATCCGAATAACTTTTCTTTTGCTTATCTTCATTAACTAATTGCTTTCGGGTTTTCTGTATTTGTTTATCTCATCACCTTTATGGAGTATATGAGGGCTCATATACAGCTTGACCGATATTATGACGAAAATTCTTAGAAGAATTGGCCTCAATCCAAGAATCATGAATCGACCTCGACGAAGAAAAATCTACATTTTGTGAACATTTCTGAGCTGTTACAATAAGCAATAGTACCCATGTATGGAATAAATGAGAGATATAGAGAATTGATTGAGTCTTTCCATGCTTCCTTTCTCCTTTGAAATTCTCTTGTAGTAGAAGTAACTAGCATTATCATTAATCTACTACAATTCTTCAACATTTTCCCATTTGAAAATTCAATATCCAAGTTTGGTATCAACAACAGCCCCCGGAGATTCATAGAGAAGAAATTTCAAAGTCTCCTTCACTTCTCTTATTGATTCCGCTTGACGATATTCTTCTTCTAAATGGAGATCAGGTTTGATATAAACGACAGGCTGATGAGTTTTAAGAAGATTTTGAAGTCTCTTTGAGTTCTTTTTTCGATTCCGGGTTAGAGGTTAATTTTCCCTCAATTCAAGATGAGGTTTGATATCATTATTAAGGAATTTAGAGAGGAGATATTTCAAGGTGTCCTCCACTTCGTTTAACGATTCCGCATGCGCATGGTGTTCATCTTCCTTCAATTCACGATCAGGTTAATATCAACGATAGGCTTAGGAGTTTTTAGAGATTTTGAAGTTTCTTTAACTTCTTTCGATTCCGCGTAGGTACTGAGGTATATTTTCTTTCGAATCAAGATGAGGTTTGATATCAACGACAGGATCAGGAATTTTTAGAGAGAGGAGATTTAAAAGTATCTTTGAACTATTTTTCGGTTTCAGGTTTGAGGTTGATTTTAGTTCATTTGAGGCGATCAGAACCAGAATGACCCAACCTCTACACTGTTATTATAGAGAAAATAGGAAAAAAAAGAGCAATTCTTTAATGGTTCAAAGGACAAGTTAAAACACTTTTTGGATGTAATTTTTTTCTTTATTAGTTGTCAACATACTTTAACCAGTGTACATAAAGCAATTTTTCAGCAAGTTTTATCTTACCATAAAAAAAAATATTGTGGGTTAGGCCACTATGGCTTCTGGCAAATCCAAAACTTTTCCAAAATTAGAATACAGATGACCTCCTAGAATAGGCATTTTATTTTGTAATTTAAAACGCATAACCAAAGAAACATTTTTTTGATTCGAAAGCACATTTTAGTATATCAGTAATACAAAATACTTTGAAGAATCACGTAGTTTTACCCCATTTTATCCTATTTATATTAAGAAAAAACTGAAAAAACAAAAACAAAAACGTTTAAAACTAGTTGTTAATAACAGCATCTTCCTCCACATTGTCAGAAATATCCAAAATATCTGTTGCCTCGGTAGAAGTTTTCAGGTTTACATAAAAATCATGGTGTATTGGAGGAATCATTGGTAGGTAGTAAAGCTAACAAATCCTTCTTTTTGGCTGCATTACCATTGGGATATAGAAGTTCTAGTTGAAGAATCTGTTTTGTATTTCGTTTAGAAATATCTACCTTTTGGAAAGCAACGATTTCGTTGTTTGAATATTTGTAGAAAATTTTAAAAGGCTCTGTTTTGCAGTACCTTAGCCACTGGAGTTTGAACCACTCAACTTTAACACCGTCAACTAAAATTTTTCTATTTGTAATATTTTTCTCCAAGACAACTGTTGAGTAGAACTCTGTTGATGTCATATCGACAATCTCAAATTTTTTCGATTTTTTGGCATCTCTCACCACTTTTTTCCAATCGTTGGGTACGAATATATCCGGATGAAATTTCTGTTGTTTCTTGACTAATCCAAAGTCCTCATCGCAAGGCAAATATGAGTGCCCGCTTAACAAAAATTTATGATCTATCACTTCAATAGGATTAGATGGATCAGAAACAATATTGTTGCACAATAAAGCTACTTTTATATTGCGGTTTTGACCGCCACATTGGTCAGAATACATAATAAGTTTTCTTTTTTTAACAAAGTGCTTTACATAATAGAGGATACAGGAACCAATTTCCTATGGTCCCTTCGAAGCTACAGACTCGTTCCACATAAACATACATTCTTGTACCCATAATATGGACTCTAAAACAGTAGGTCCAGAGCTGGCGCTTATAGTAAGTAACATATCCCTGTCGATAGAACTGGAGTTGGCAATGTTTGCATCAAATCGAAAGTAATGGTCGTCAAAGACTCGTCATTCTTAGCCAACTCTGAATCATTTCTTAAACCTTGTCTTGCGCTCTCGGCTTTCCTTAGATGCAACTCTTTTTCTGTTTTAACGTTTTCCTGTTGTTCTGGATCTTGAAGTGACTTTGTTTTCATTTCCATCATATCGCATTTTTTGTATGAATCCGAAATGGGTGTGTGAAAATGCAAATTGAATTCTTTATTAAATTTTTTAGTAAAAACCCATTTAGAAACTTGCTGGGGGACTCAGGCCTGGATTAAGGGGGGTTCTACCGGTTCTATAGAACCGGGCCCAACGTTCCAAGGGGCCCTCGCGAGATCGAAGATTGGAAAAAAAAAAAATTGAATTTACATCAAACATTGTCAAAATTCCCCCAAAAGCTGGTTTGACAAGATTATAATCATCAGCCTGTAACTTGAGGTAGGCCTGTAACTATAGGCCTTTTCGGAAACGCTGATCCGATTAAACCGATCACCAGCTGTTTGTCTTTTATCTTTCTTTTATAAACTAGATTGGAAAAAGACAACGTAGGTACATCAGCTCTAGTGATCGAGTAAATCGGATCAGCCGAACCAAAAAGGCCCACATTGAATCACAACATGTGTAAAGCTTAATTTTCATGCATCCATTATCCGTCGTCCCAAAATTTTTATATTCGACTCAAAACGTTTCTAATTTACATACATCCGCCACACACATATTTTGCCTCCAAAATATTGGACCAAATAGGAATACTTCCGGATTGACGGAAAAACGGATGCATGAAGAAAAGTAAGCTTAACACATTAATATTATATTAAAACAATATCATCAATAGTTCTAGGTTAGGTGATTCGTGCGTGAATCCCAGCGGAAGCCAAATTTATGTATTATTAAATGTTGGAATGTTGGTGTTAGTATAATACATTAGAAATAAGCGTGCGTATAAAGTTGATGGACTAACAGATTGTTTTTTTTCACATTCCTTTCCTTATCTAAAAAAAAAGGGGCCCCAAAAAATAAATTAGCACCGGGCCCACCAGTGTCTTAATCCGCCTCTGGGGGGACTTCCTCTGTATAGAGTTCAAACATTTTGCTTAGGCATAAATTTGGTGACAGAAACTTTCTATGTGTAATGCGACTCGTATGATGTAAAAATGGAAACTTATTTACAAATGCTTTAACCTGGTCTACTTTATCCAGGCTTGTTTTATTATGTGGAATGTGCTTTCTGCACATGCCTACAGGTGGTGTATTACCAAATACCTTTGCATTAAGTACTCTGGTAATCCTTCCATCAGAAACTCTCAAAAGCTTTAAAAAAAAGGATTTGCATACCTTTATGTCTTCTGCGTCAGCCGAGGGCAAGTGGTAAAGTCTTGTTTTTTGACGTTTGCTCTCTACATTATTTGTGTAGATTCTATTTTTGTTAACAAATTTAACTTGGGAAAATAGATACGCTGAATGTAAATTGTAGCTTTCAATACTATAAAATCTGTTGCTGGCGACCAGATTTAATTTTAAGATGACAATGATTCTTGCACGAACAGATTACTTGGGAAAATGTTTTTGGAGGGACTTGCCTGCCCGAAGTTGACGGGTAACTTTCTCCATTGGTTTTCTTGGTTTTTCTTATGTTGTTTTTCCACTGGCTCACATTTAGAATCCTTTTCTTTCCTTTCTTCACTGGGTTATCGCCATTATTATTATTATCATTATTCACAGTATTCTGCAGTAATTGTTCCTCAGTATCTGTGGTTGCGTTCTGCGCTTCGTTATCAGAGGAATTTTCAGCATCAGAAGGTGCGCGTATTCCGAACCAGAACTCATAAATGGTTCTGAATGACAACATGATGCCCATAAATATAGTTATGGAATTTCTGACACGCATAGACCACTGCTAAAAATTTTTTCTTAATTTGAATGAAAAGCGTTTCAGCTGCTGTTAATGATCGTGATGCCAAAGCCACTAGCTTATTGTTCTGCAGAAGCACACATCCCAAACCTGACTTACTTTCATCTGTTTCTTAAGTAACTCTCTCAATAATGTTAATATTTCTAATAAATTGGGTATGTAGTTTCTTAAATAGTTAATCATTTCAAGAATTCTTTGAAGTTCTTTTGGCGTTTCTGGCTCCTCAAGACTCATTATAGCCAGAATTTTATCGTTATCCGGTGTCATACCCGATTTATCAAAAATGTTTCTCAAATACTTTACTTTCTGCACTCGATATTGCAATTTGCTACAATTTAACTTGACATTCAAAGAGCGAGCTCTCTCAACAACCTTAGGCAAGATTCGATCATGCTCCTCCAATGTTTTTGCGGCAATCAACAGGTCATCAAAGTATACAATTACCCCTTCTATATCACCAAAGTTTTCAGTATTAAACTTTTGAAAAAACTCAGGTGCAACATTAAGACCAAAAGGAAGTCTAAAGGACCTATAGATACCGAAAAGACAACCAAATGCGCAGAGCCTGCTCGAATCCTCATCCAAAGTTACCTGATAAAACCCATCCTTGAAATCGAGCACAGAAAAGTAATTTTTATTGTTTAATTTTGCTCTTATTTCATCTAAGTTGGAGTTTCATAGAATTCCTTTTCCAATGCATTATTGGATCTCAACACAATCTTAGCGATCCATAATTTTTTTCTATGATCACCAAGTTGTTAAGCCATTCAGTGGGCCCCTCAATTTTAGCAATTACTCCTTTATTAATCAATTCGTCAAGTTTGCTTTTCAATTTGTCTTTAATAGCAAAAGGAACTCTCCTGGGTGGCTTAAAAACTGGAATTTAATCTTTTTTCAGCTTAAGTTTACATTTTTTGTTAAACTGGCCCAATCCCATGAAAGTATCTGCCGCCAAGTTCGCGCACTACTGTATACCTTTTCTCGAAACATTTCAGGTCATTTTCGAACTACCTGTAACTCAGCTCTGAAGTGTCCTAAAAAACTGAAATTTTGCACAGTCGTAGACCTTTATAGATCTAATACTAAAATTAAATTTCATCGATTTCCATCAACCAACAAAAAAGTTACATGGCCTCAAAAAACGCCAATTTTGTCACTCACTCATGTATAGATCATCAAAATTCTAAGGTATTTCCAAATATGCTAGCAGGCTGAAATTTAGCATACCTACTGATATAAATTATGGCAAAACGCATGGAAAAAAACAAAAACCCTGAAAATTTGACCACCCTCCACAGCTATCGTTAAACACAATAGTCTGGGGAACAGACAGACGGAGCTTCACCGTAATAAGGGCTAGTCTTTGTATGTTGGTATTTTAAACGAAATTAGATCTAATCCAAACGAACCTGTCCTCGTAATAATCCTCAAAAATAATTAAAATTCCTAAGAAAAAAGGCAAAACTTAAAAAAAAGTAATGCCAAACAGAGCAAATCCAAAACTAACCCGTCCTCTTAATATTCTTTAGGTGAAAAATAAAAACTCTAAGAAAAAACAAAACTTGAAAAAAAAAAGGATTGCTTTCAACGAGAATCGAACCTGCGACCATTTGCTCCAAAAACAGTGCGTATGTGCAAGCTATGTGTGCGTATTTTAGCCGATCCTAGACGAACCCATTAGGATCGGTGCAATATTTTAGTGAATTTAGTCACACGCGGAATATCGTTCTGCATCCTTCCTGGCTCCGTATGCCTGCTCCCCAGACTCTTCTCTTAAATACACAGTATGTGTTAGCAGCATTCAATGCTCGAAGCTCTTCCTAGTCCATATGTCGAACTCATCGCTTCAGATAACTTGAACTTTCCAAAATTTCTTCTAAAAAGAGCCCGTGAAGCGCTTAAAAAACATAAAGAGGATGACTCAATGACAGCGTGATTAGAAGAAAGTATTGTTCTCAAAGAAGGAGTTAGAATTATGTTAAAGCCAAATATAGATGAGGTTGGGTCTGGTAAATGGTTCTCTGGTCAAAGCTCTTGAAACAAAATTTAACAATGGACTTTGTCATGAAATTTCTCCAAATTTGAGATTATTAGTCGTGCATGCGTCCACAGAGAACAATTTCCAATTTGTATAATATTGCATATACACTATCACCATTCTCAAAAGCCAAGGCTTGAGTCTTCCTTATGCACTTATTGATATAGGTCTATCGGTGTTTTCATGCGGAGGCATATGTGGCGATTTCCTAAGTTTCAAGTTTAGAAGGAGTTCATCTAATAAACTTAGATAGGTACTAATAACATTAAAGCGCAAGTGTCCGCAATTGCTGAATACAACCGATTAAGGTCATTATATCGTCCTGAACTTCCGCGAATTGAAGCTCAAAAAGGACCGAATAGGAAGCATAGGAACAATGGTCGAGACTCAAGAGTGGGCTTCACGAGAGCAAGTTTTAGAAGTTCAAGAAGGCGATGGGAAACCAGTAGCAAAAAGAAAAAGACCTAATGCACCAAAAAAAAAAGTTGAATTATGACATTATTCTTATTGAAATCCTATCACTCAAAGTATAGGGTACGGTTCACTGACGACTGAACCAACAGAAGACCCTGATTTCGGCGGTTGTGATATCACAAGTTCCTGTATAATTTATCTTCACAAGGAATTTTCTCGGAGACTATTTTGAATATAGGACTGCGGTTTTCAAGAGAGATCTCAGAACCTTTTCCTTGATTTAAGTAGCTCAAGTCCTTTTTTAGGGTCACACCCCCTTTAACGATTCCGCGTGGTGTTTACCTTTTTTCAATTCACGATCAGGTTTAATATCAACGATAGACTTAGGAGTTTTTAGAGATTTTGAAGTTTCTTTGACTT